CAAGGTGGCTCTAGGCTGGCCAGGTGACAGTGTGACATCTGTTCTCAAATGAATAAACACAGTCCCCCAACACATTCGAGAAAACCTCCTTCCACAACAGGCTGGCATGCAGACTTCCCTCAGACTGGCTGCTGTTCCTTCCAGGCCCTAGAAACAAACTCTTCCTGCAGAAACGCTTCTCTCTGGACAAGTCAGGGAGTGATTCATAGTCCTTAAGTGGCCCTGTGACGATGTGCTCCATCCCTCCATAACATCTTTTGTTTTCCAGGCTTTAGGTTTGTGAATAGCAAAATAAGCTCTAGGAAGCCTTGCCCTCACCTCATCCCCACTGCCTACTCCACCCTGCAGGCATTCAGGGAAGCAACATTGGGCTAGGTGTTACCTCACTGTTTTCTGAACAGCAAAACCCAAGTGAGTACACACTTGCCCCTCAGACCTCTCACAGTTCGCCGTAGCTCTCCTCCTAAACCCACCCACCCAGGAAAGCAAAAGCTCCTGCAAGAGGGTGGCCCTGAAGAGCAGAGCTCTGCAGCTCCAAGGCCAAGAAAATGCAGAAAGATGAGCCTGGCCGATTCTGTCCAGCTCCCTCCTGACCAGGCCAGGCACGGCACGAACACAAGCCCGGCAGAAAAGTGGGCACCTGGAAACACTGAGGTTATTATTTCCTAAAGACTTGTGAGGTCCTATTTCCAAGGACCACACCAGGGAGAAGCTGGCCTGCCTTGGCAACCAGGTGAGCAAGCACAGTGGCCACTTAGTCACCCTGGGAAGCTGGCAGAGCTAGAGCCCTTGCCACAGCCTTCACAGCACCTCAATCCCCCAGAGACCACCACTGTCAAACTCTAAAGGAAGGGCGCTAACGAGGAGGAGTATGAGGGAAGCTAGAGGAGAAGGCGTGGGGCATGGTGCCTAGATTAGCCAAACCCCGTCCACGTCCTTTACATCCTCTGATTTAACAACCTCTACTTCCTTCCACAGTGCAATCGCTATGAAAGAGTAAACAAGGAAAGGTCTGCACACAACAGCCACCCCCAAGAACACTTCCCATCAGAAAGACAACTCAACCATCCCCACTCCCAAGGACAACCACTGCAAACTTAAACTGAAGCTGGGAGGTGAGTCACCTAAGTCCTTTGAGCCCCAGCCTGGGCCTGGTGTGGTGGCTCACGCCTGAACCCCAGCACTCGGGGACTGAGGCACACAGACCACAATGAGTTTAAGACCAGCCCGTGCTGCATGACGAGGTTCAGGCCGAGATGAACCTGGGCCATAAAGTTCTAGTACATATGCCTTCTCTCTCTGTCTCTGTGTCTCTCTTTCCCTCATTTATCAAAACACTAATATCCCATCACTGTGGCAAACCTTCCTATCAACTGAAAGTTCCCTGCAGAGCAGCCCTAGAACCCATGAAGGGTTCCTGTCCTACAGATACCACAGACTGTTCCGTCCTGAGAACAATCAGGAGTCAATGAGGAACCTCACATAAATACTGCCATTCTCCCATCAGAACTAATCAGAAAATCTAGTTCAGTTTTAACTGGTAACTGACCAATGACTGCACAGCTTCCAGTCAGAGTGCTCCCTCCCCTCCGTCACACAGTGCACTCCTATTTCTGCAGCCCTCTGGGGTGTTTTGTTGGCTGGCAGGTTGATGTTTCAGGGCAAAACCCACACAGTTCCCACTGACAGAAGCTCCCAATCCTCCCTCCTCAGTCCCCCAAGTGCTGAGGTGACAGGTGTTACCCTCATGCCGCCTGTGGTGGTTTGAAAGAAAATGGACCCCAGATAGTCCCACAGGGAGTGGTACTATTAGGAGGTGTGGCTTTGTTGGAGTAGGTGTGGTCTTGCTGGAGGAAGTGTGTCCCTGTGGGGGTGGGATTTGAGGTCTCCTACATCCAAGTCACTCTCAGTGTGTGAGACAGACCACTTCCTGCTGCTTATGCAAGATGGAGAACTCTCAGCTACCTCTCCAGCACCATGTCACACCACAGTGATACTAGACTAAACTTCTGAAAATGTGAGCCACCCCAATTAAATGTTTTTTCCTTTATAAGAGTTGCTGTGTTCATGGTGTCTCTTCACAGCAATAGAAACCCTAAGACATACTCCCCACCTCAGCCTCTGAAGTTATTTTTGCTACAAAAAAAAAAAAAACCACAAACAAACAAAATAAAAACCCACTGGCTCTTCACTGCCTACAAGGTAATTAGAAGCAGATGATCTGGCATTGTTACCTTCCTTTTGTGTTTGTGACAGTCTTGGAAGGAGAGAAGGTATCTCAGAAAGACACTTCATGCTACCAGACCACTGAAATAATGAATCCTAAACAATTAAAATTTCCCCCAGACTTCTCACACCAGTCAGAAGGAGGAACTTGTCTGACGGGAAGAGATTTCACACTGACATTTCATCAGGCCACCTTGCAGAACACACTGGGGCTGAGACAGTGATAGGCCCACGGCGGGTGAGACCAAACCTGACCGCTGTATGTGCCTTCTGCTTTCCACTTAAAGTCTAAACATGTCCAGGCTCAGAGACAGACATGAGCAAAATGGGTTGGGAGTCACTGAATGAACCCCTTTTCTCTGCCTCTCACTACTGTGTCTTTAGCTAGTGCTTGGGGAACAGGTTATGAAACCCAGAGTTGTGGGACTGACCCAGTCCAGGCTTTGACGCTGAAAACCCAGGAAACTGTGGCCTGCTGTGTGAGACTCCTGCTTGATTTGATGTAGACATGGAATTCGTTCATCTCAGAGCAGTGACACCTGTCCTATCCTCATCTCCCTTTCAGGTCAGAAGCCCCCAGTCCCTCACAGAAGGGATGTGGACCTGTGATAGGGGGCGGTCTAGAACAGGCCATGGTGGGAGGGTGCTCTAGAACGGGCCATGGGAGTGCTCTAGAATGGGCCATGGTGGGAAGGGTGCTCTAGAACGGGCCATGGAGTGCTCTAGAACAGGCCACGGTGGGAGGGTGCTCTAGAATGGGCCATGGTGGGAGGGTGCTCTAGAACGGGCCACGGGAGTGCTCTAGAATGGGCCATGGTGGGAAGGGTGCTCTAGAGCGGGCCATGGAGTGCTCTAGAACAGGCCACGGTGGGAGGGTGCTCTAGAACGGGCCATGGAGTGCTCTAGAACAGGCCACGGTGGGAGGGTGCTCTAGAACGGGCCATGGTGGGAAGGGTGCTCTAGAATGGGCCATGGTGGGAGGGGTGCTCTAGAACAGGCCACGGTGGGAGGGGGTGCTCTAGAACGGGCTGCGGGAGTGCTCTAGAACGGGCCACGGTGGGAGGGGTGCTCTAGAACGGGCCATGGGAGTGCTCTAGAACAAGGTCCATGCTTTCACAGGACGGGGCTGGCAACAATAGTCCTGACAGCGTTTGGACTATTTTGCAGAACCAGGTCTGACTGAAAGATCAACCAGACGACTTAATTACACAAGTGAGTTCTGGCAACCAAACTACAGTCCTCTGGAAGAGAAGCAAACACTCTTAGTATCTCCCAGATCTCAAGCTTGGTTTGACGTTTTAGATATTTGTCTGTTTCTCCATTTGCTTTTGGGTTTTTTAAACAAAGGCTCACCTTGCCTAGGAAGGCCTCCAACTTACTGTGTAGCTGGGGAGAACCCTGAACTCCTGACCATCTCCACCATCTGGTGCTGGGATTACAGGCTCGCACTACCACACTTGGCACACTGCCCAGGGTCACTACAGCACTGAGAACCTAGCACGGTGCCTCTGAGAAGTCTTAGGGAAAGGGTCTGTCCCTGGCCATCGACTGGGTACATTCCTAACAGAAGTCATGCAGGCACATACATGCCTGAGCATGGGCCA